CAAATTAAAGCCTATAGCTGAAAAATAAGATCAGGCTATTCAAAATATTTAAAACCGACGGTAATTGTAGTTTTTGCCATGAATATTAATTTATATTTAGTCATGGAGTCATTACTCATAATCAAGTCATTACTTATAATCAAAATTGGAGTAATCAAAATTGTGCCGCCTACATAAGTCAGATCTGTGATTTATTATGCTTTAAAGACTAAAAGTAAGGGCCGGCAACTCGGACCGGGCCAGCTAGTTTTATATATATTGTATATACGCTGGCCCGGTCCTCGTTTTTGTCTATTATGCATATTTGTCAAAGCATAATTATTCACAAATATGACTGATATAAGTGTTCACGTACTGGTCGATTAAAAGTGTTTTAATATACTTGTACCCATATTTAAGCCGTGGGCTTCAATATTTAAACCGTGGACTTCAAATGTGTGGATGCGCTATGCAAATCCGACGAGACCAATATGGGCCCTACTCCAAAAATTTCAAATTCTATACGAAGAAGTTCTCTACCCCCTTAGAAAAAAAGATGCCAAATAAGGGCCAAAAAAATGAAAAAAGTGGCCAAGACCCCAATAATAGCTTAAATCATACGATGGAAATCGGGTTGTACCCTTATCCGTGAGTTATGATCGATATCAAGGTATCTTGAATGTTTGGGAAGAATTTCTGGAAGGATAGAAATCTTTTTCTTACTAAGAGTCCTATTCGCTCTACTATTTTCCACCCTTTATACTTGGTATTTTACTGATTGTACTCCCAAAGAATTTTGCATTTTGAGCTCTCATTGGACGGATTATTGTCACATGAAAGAAGTAGTTCCACGCTTTGAAATGAGACCCATTAGGCTTTTTTGGTAATTTGTTCAAATGTGTTCGCATCTTCCAGCTGAACCACGATGTCGGCCCTGAAGTTTGAAAGGTAGATGTCAGTTAACATCGTATTTCGCATTTATTTCATTTTTTGGTGAAAAAATGTATATAGTAAAAAATTATTCTTTATTTTGTTCACAAAAAATTCAGTGAATTCAATATGATAATACAAATTGAAAGAAAAAGAATAACATATAACAAAAAAAGAATAAAATAACTATTGAAAAAATCTTCAACTTGTTCGGTGATTTTTTACAGCAACTGTTTAAAGATCCTTACAAAGTTTGTCAATAGAATGTACTATTATTTTAAAATTCAATTCCATTGAAAAATTTTTTTTCGATATTTTCCCGATTTGAGAATTTTTGAGATCTCTTTTTTCGTGATTTTTTAACGATTTTGAAGAGGTAATCTTAATCTTTTAACTTTGGTGTGACCGCGTAAAATTATTTCGATATCATCTATTCCGTCCCGTCATCACATAATTCGTTACTACAAGTCCATGTACCCCGACAACAATTTCAGTTCTCAATAAATCAAGTCAATTAAACAAATTGGTATTAATATTCGAATTTAAAAATAATATATAAAAAAACTCCAAATGTACATTAGAAAAAAGTAAGTCAAAATGGAAAAAAATGATGCAAAATAAAACATAACTATTGTACATTTCAGAAGTCAAAATGAAAATGTTAATATATCAAATTTTTACGCAATTTTTTTTTTTTTTTTTTTTTGATATTATCCTTTTCGGACAGAAGACAATTTCGAATTTGCGGTTCTTAAGTTATAAGCGTAGTAACTAAAACAACTTTCTTTTATATCTATATATATAAAAATCAATTGTTGTTTGTTGGTAACGGAATCAGTTCAAAACAGCTGGGCCGATTTGCATAATTTTTTGTACAAACGTTCGTCATACCCCGAGTTAGGTTTTTAAAGAAAAAAATATTGACCACGTCTCCTTTTACACCCACTATTACGATTTATCTAAAATCTTTATATTTGCCAAAATAGTGAAGATATCGGTTTGAGAATTATTACACGAGATGTTGTCGGCTTTCCATCCATATAGCGGCTGAGGAACGCGCCTACTTTTAAATCTATCTCTCTATATGTAAAAGAAAGTTGTGTTAGTTACTACTCTTATAACATAAAGACCGCCGGTCTGATATTAACGATTTAGACAAATTCGGAATTGCCTCTTGGCAGAAAAGAATAAAATCCAAAAAAATCGCGCAAAAATGTGAAATTTGAACATTTTCATTTTGACTTTTAAAATGTACAATAGTAGTGTTTTATATTGCATATTTTTTTCCATTTTGACTCACTATTTTCGAATGTACATTTGTAGCGTTTTTTTTTTTTTTTTTTTTTTTTTTTGAATTCTAATATGATGTGTAGGTTTTTTTGGGTATTCGTAATACCCAATAAATACATAAAATCTATAAATAAAAATTTTATCCGTTGTCGCTTTATATGAAAATTCTAGAATCGGGAAAACCGACAATTTTTCAATGGAATCGAATTTCAAAAAAATAGTACATTCTACCGACAAACTTCGTAATCATCTTTAAAAATTTGCCGCATAAAAATCAGCGAAACCGATGAAGATTCTTTTTCTTTTTTCTCTATTGAAGTGTACATTTTTTTATTGGTTTGAATTCTGAATGAATAATATTAAAAAATGAAATGAGGGCACAATACGATGTAAAATGCTTTCTACTTCAGGACCTACATCGTGCTTCAGCTGGAAGATGCGAACACATTAAAACAAACAAAAATGACCGAAGAAGCGTTATGGGGTTAATTTCAAAAAGTGGACCTGCTTCTTTCATATGACAATAAATTGTCAAATGAGAACATAAAATGCAAAATACATTGGGACTGCAAATACCAGTCAAATACCGACTATAAAGAACGCAAAATAGAAATTCTACGTAAACATTCGAGATACCTTTAATCGCTTTGGCAGGTCATGATATGGATCATAACGGAACAACCCCATTTCAAGTATATTCTACATTTTAACCATATTTTTCGTACTAATTTTAGCTTATGTTGATAATTTAAGAAGAAACCATCTTTGCAAAATATATATATAATATATATATATATATATATATATATGTATATATATATATATATATATATATATATATATATATATATATATATATATATATATATATATATATATATATATATATATATATATATATATATATATATATATATATATATATATATATATATATATATATATATATATATACTAGCAGGCCCGGTCCGCGTATATATAGTATATATATATATATATATATATATATATATATATATATCTATATATATATATATATATATATATATATATATATATATATATACCTATATATATATACTAGCAGGCCCGGTCCGCGTATATATAGTATATATATATAAATATATATATATATATATATATATATATATATATATATATATATATATATATATATATATATATATATATATATATATATATATATATATATATATATATACGCGGACCGGGCCTGCTAGTATATATATATATATATATATACTAGCAGGCCCGGTCCGCGTTGCCGGCCCGTACTTTTAGTCTTTAAAGCATAATAAATCACAGATCTGACTTATGTAGGCGGCACAATTTTGATTATAAGTAATGACGCCATTATAATTACTCCAATTTTGATTATAAGTAATGCTTTGATTATGAGTAATATTCATGGCAAAAATTATAATTACCATTGGTTTTAAATATTTTGAATAGCCTGATCTTATTTTTAAGCTATAGGCTTTAATTTGAGTGTTAAATACCTATATCATAAAGAACATCTATAATAGCCCCATGTGAAAATTCAGCTTAATTTTTGATATTGTAAAAAGCATTCAAATGAGCTATAATTTGAAATTTGTATTTCCAACGTTTAAAATCCCGTACTGCGTGGTATTCAGTTTTGTCCACCTCATACTTGAAGGCAGAATGTTGTCAGAATGGCCAAAAAAAATACTCTTTTGCTCCGATTACCGTAAGATGGGCATTAATTGTTTGTCATTTAAATTGTGCGGCGGAGATCCAATAAAGTTACTTTATAATTTCGTATTTTTTCATGTTTCTGCCACAATTTCCGACTGAATGAGTCCCAGATTGACATTTCGGAGTTTATTTCATATAGACGTACATCCCAAATCAACGTTCCCAACCAATAATCTCTTGGGGGTTACAAATTCAATAGAATACCAAATTTTCTTTTCTGACCACACATTGGTTGGGAAAGTGGACTTGGGGGTACACTAATGTGGGGACTATACTTAAATAAATTGTCTTAGACTGTAGTATACATTACGAACTTCAAATATTAAATCTGAAACAATTCCGATGAATAATATCGCTAAAATCATCAAAATAACGAATATTGGGAGGTACCGTTATATGGGGGCTATACGAAGAAGTGGACCTGCACAGACAACTTTCTGTCATAGGCTGTAGTATCCTCTACGAACATCAAATACCATATTTGAAAGAATTCCGGTGTTTATTGTCACCAAAATCAACAAAATACCGAATATTGGGAGGTACAGTTATATTATACGAAGACGTGAACCTGGATAATGTCGCTAAAATCATCAAAATACCGAATACCGGGAGGTACCGTTATATAGGGGCTATACGAAGACGTGGACCTGCACAGACAATTTTCTGTCATAGGCCATTTCGAGCTTTAAATACTAACTTTGAAACAATTCCGATGAATATTGTCGCAAAAGTTATCAAAATTACGAATATCGGAGGTGCCGTTATATGGGGTCGGTACCAAAAGTCCTGCAGGCATATTACACGTTTGAGTAAAATTGTATAAATCTACTTCAATTCGCTCGGAAGCTAGAGTGATTTCCACATACGGACGGACATCGCTACATCGACATAGAATATGCATATGCTGATCAAAAATATACTTTGTGGGGTCTTATATTGTTATATATATATATATATATATATATATATATATATATATATATATATATATATATATATATATATATAAATAAATGTTTTTAACATGTTTTTAACATAACAGTTTCAGAAAATTTTCTTACCATTTACATTTGATTCAGTGTATTTAACTCTTTCCTCCTTACATTTATCTGCGTTCCTTCGGTTGAATGACCTTTTGTGAAGTTCATAGAGCATAAGCCAAACCTGATTCTCCTTGGCACGAAACTAAAGTAGCAAAAACAGAAAATTAAAACAGTTTAATTGAGTATTGCTCTTGCCTGACATATCTAAAAGTCGAACTTGGGTAGTATTGTGCAAGATTCCACAATTTTTACAATTTGTTGACTAAATATAAAAATGTAGCATAAAAATGTAGCATGAACATAACATGAAGGCGTAACTGAAAGTGTATCGCATTTCACAACAAACCAAACAACACCGAATAATGCATACGTTGATACTGTAGTGTGTATCGGTTAAAATAATTAAAAATTATTTAAAAATGTTTTATGATGAACATTTTGGCCTGGCACGCAAACTTCACCAGCCTTATTGCTCGTCGGAAGGGGGTGGGATCTTGCCATTGTCCATCAATATGTCTGCGAACTACCAGTTATATTTGTATGCGTGTAAATTTAAAAAAAGGAGGAAAAGAAAAAGTATACTCTACCGAATAGTCGAAGGATTAAGAAAAAAAGATGTAACCTATAGCCGATGAAAATATGATGGAAAGATTTATTTCACCTATATTGATTTGACCATGCTAAGATGTCGTCGGCATGGTAACCCACCCTTCTTGTGTACCATATAAATTTCTGATTAATATACATGAGAATATTTTGTAAGGTAAACCCATATTTCATACCCCTACATTACCTTTCCGAACCCTTTAAATCAAGCCCTTATGACTTAGTTCAAAAACATGTTTCTAAAACGTAAACATTTGATTTACATAATTCTAGGCCATTATTAATATATATACAAATTTATGGAAGCTTGATATAAAGTTTTAGGAAAATTATTTGCAACGAATTAGAAATTAAAAAAAAAATAAAATCCATTAAAAATTCTTTTAAAATCTTTAAAATATCTAATATAGGAAGGTGCCGATATGGGGGATATACGATATTGTGGACCTGTGTGGCTAACATCATCAAAATACCGAATATCGGGGGGTACAGTTATATGGGGGATATACGATATCGTGGACCTATATAGACAATTCCGTTTCAGGGGTAAAGTGCTCACAAAGAACTCCGTGTGTGGATTTTCAGACAATACGATTGGTAAATGTGGCTAAAATCATCAAAATACCGAATATCGCGGGGAATCGTTATATGGGAGCTATACGTTATCGTTAACCTATATAGAGAATTCTCTGTCAGGGAATAAAGTGCTCACAAAGAACCCCTTGTGTTCAAAGAACCCCTTGTGTTCAAAGAACCCCTTGTGTTCAAAGAACCCCTTGTGGCCATTCCGTTGAAAAATATGGCTAAAAAAACATCAAAATACCGAATATCGGAGGTACCGTTATATGAGGGCTATACGATATCGTGGACCTATATAGATAATTCTCTGCCGAGGTATAAAGTACCCACAAGGAACTCCATGTGTGGATTTTCAGACAATTCCGATGAAAAATGTGGGTAAAATCATAAAAATGCCGAATATCGGGGGGTACCGTTATATGGGGGATATACGATATCGTGGACCTGTATAGACAATTCTCTCTCAGGGGGTGAAGTACTCACAAGGAACTACTTGTGTGGATTTTAAGGCAATTCCATTGAAAAGTGTGGCTAACATCATCAAAATACCGAATATCGGGGGTACCGTTATATGGGGGCTATACGATATCGTGGACCGATATAGCCCAACTTCGAACTTGACCTGCCTGCAGACAAAAGAGAGATCTGTGCAAAATTTTAGCTTCCTATCTTAATTCGTTTAGATTGTAGCGTGATTACAACAGACGGACGGACAGGGGTAAATCGTCTTAGAATTTTACGCTGATCAAAAATATATATACTTTGTTGGGTCTAAAATGATTATTTCGATGAGTTACAAACAGAATGACGAACTTAATATACCCTCCATACTTTTTTGGTGGAGGGTATAAAAAGTGTCATAATTTGTCAAGTCTGTTGTCGTTAATATAGGTGAAAACTGTGTTAATTGGAAAAAAATAATATATAATTATAAAACAATATCTTAGCCTCGCCATAAACGTTTTTGAAATAGTTGGAAGTGAAACAATTAATTGAGAGTATATCCAATGGTGGTGCTGTGTTTGTTCAATCGGTTTGAATAATTGGCTTGTGTAAAAAAGTAAAGTATTAAATTAAGCCCGTTTAACAAAAAAATATACACCAAGTAAAACAAACAGTGGTAAATGGAAAAAATAATTGAAATTTAAAATTAATATTGCACGTAAATTACATTGGTGTTTGGAATTGTTCACAAATTGCGTGAACCACACCCCCTGAAAGGCCTTTCATCGTGGGAGCTCCAGCAACCTAAGCAGTAAGTCCCAATATCTAAAACATAATACATACATAGAGCAAATACAAATAGATTCCACATTTGACGAATGAACCGTTAGTTCCCTCTGATATCATCTGCTGTTTAATTCTTCATTTTTATTTAAATCAGTTAAAAGTAAATTATTAACATTTTTGATATATAAACAAAATTATAATTGGAATTTTCTAGTTTGTATTTGCTCATATTAATCAACCGTACTTGTTGAATGAAAGTGCTATTATGTGTGCTTGTTTAACAGACGAATCAATATTAAACCCAGCATACGTATGTTAAGTTGTTCACTTATACAGTTTGAGAATCATTGCTTTCCTGTATGCGTGAATTATAGATCTTCTGCATATTGAAATATTTTATATGAAATATTAATAAATTTTTCTTGCGCATTCATCCAACTATCAGTCAAGATACATTTTTGGTACTTGGTGTGTTACTTTTATACATTTTGGCAAAAGAAAATTGGTTAAAATTTTGATGTGAATATTTCCATTATCAAAGCCTTTGGACGTGTTAGGGTACAATTAACGAAGAGGTCAACGTACTAACAGCTGGTTGTTGGTTTGTAACGTCAGTAAAAGAAATAAATGATATGTTGAACACACACACCATAGTCACAGCACACAAAACCAAGTGGAATTTAAATATATATATTTTAATCATTTTTTTTACAACCAACTATTTCTAACGTTTTACTGATCATGTTATATTATTTAAATCTAAACTTGTTACTTTTATTATAATATCGTCCGATTTTTATGGAAAAAAGCGTTTATTGATTTGCTTGTTAGTTGTTAAGAAAAGAAAACTGATCTCACTTGCTATTTTTCTAATGAGTACAATAACCTAGCTTTATTTTTATACCCTCCACCAAAAAAAGTATGGAGGGTATATTAAGTTCGTCATTCCGTTTGTAACTCATCGAAATAATCATTTTAGACCCAACAAAGTATATATATTCTTGATCAGCGTAAAATTCTAAGACGATTTAGCCCTGTCCGTCCGTCTTTCTGTCCGTCCGTCTGTTGTAATCACGCTACACTCTAAACGAATTAAGATAGGAAGCTAAAAAAAAAAAGCACAGATCTCTCTTTTGTCTGCAGGCAGGTCAAGTTGGAAGATGGGGTATATCGGTCTACGATATCGTATAGCCCCCATATAACGGTACCCCCGATATTCGGTATTTTGATGATTTTAGCCACATTTTTCAATGGAATTGTCTGAAAATCCACACAAGTAGTTCCTTGTGGGTTCTTTATACCTCGGTAGGGAATTATCTGTATAGGTCCACAATATCGTATGTCCCCCATATAACTGTACCTCCGATATTCGGTATTTTCATGTTTTTACCCATATTTTTCAACGGAATGGTCACAAGGGGTTCTTTGAACACAAGGGGTTCTTTGTGAGAACTTTACCCCCCGACAGAGAATTCTCTATATAGGTTAACGATAACGTATATCCCCCATATAACGGTACTCCCCTATATTCGGTATTTTGATGATTTTAGCCACTTTTTCCAATGGAATTATCTGAAAATCCACACAAGGAGTTTCTTGTGAGTACTTTACACGCAGACATGATTTGTCTTTATAGGTCCACAATATCGTATATCCCCCATATCGGCACCTTCCTATATTAGATATTTTAAAGATTTGAAAATAATTTTTAATAGATTTTATTTTTTTTGAAAAATTTCTAATTCGTTCCAAATGGTGGAGGGTATTCAAAGTTCGGCCCGGCCGAACTTACTGCTTTTTTACTTGTTATTCCTGTCCTTGGGATCTTTTCGTATTTCTCGACAAAAATCACAGTCACCAAAATAGCTGCCAACTATACATGTTAATCAACCGATGAAACTGAAACAACTAGATAATTATACAATTTAAGGCTGCTCTCACAATAACCACTTTGCAGCTTGTTGGAGTATGTAGAGATAACAGGGGCAAAGGGAAACCTAAGAACAAGTAGACAAGAATATGAAGCGAAACATTAGTTCTACCACATTTAAGAAATCCTAGTAAAAAAAAAATAATCTTACCAAGAGCACAATAAAATCCACTGTAGAGTGAAAAATAAATTCCTTCCAGGAACAGGATACCAACTCCAGAGGATAACTGACAACCACGGTCAAGCGGATTTATGAGGTCTTTATTAATTTTTGTGGAAAAATTTTGTGGCAAGTCCGAACTATTCGATTGTAATAAATTTTATTCCTTTTTATTTTACAATCTGTGGGACCAAACTTTACTTTTTCCCTGCTTAATAAAAACCAAAAACCTATTTTTTTTTAAATTTTTCGTTGTATATTTGTAATACTTGGGTGTTAATGGATGAAATGACAGGAATAAATTAACAAAATTTCACTGCCTTTTTTATCTAACCACGGCTAACTAAATGGGGCAAATAGCTAAACAACATACACAAATGAAAAAATCCAAAATTCAACATACCATAATCGCTAATTTTGTCATTTGTATGTGTATTCACTCAAAGAGTAAAAACTAGGTTAAAAGAAAGATAGTAAATTTTCACCATTTATGTTCGGGGAAATGAAGGCAACGTAATACACCACTAACATTAACAGCCGAATTCGCCGAAATGCGTATAATCACAAATAACCTCAAATTATGGTTTATAATCTACTAGCTGGTCCGGTCCGCGTTGCCGGTCCGTAGTTTTTGTCT